CTTTATGTCAATTTCCCATATCAGAAAAATGACAGATCAGAGACCAGAGAGAGAGAGATAATGTGTTTAAAAGACTTTTTTTATGTAGTTGAATGACTCCACTCAGAACAAGGAGTAAAGTTTTAATTTACCTATATACTTTGTTCCACTTTCCAGTTAACATTATTTGGATTTATAGTGATAGCACAGCGGTAGGGCATTTGCCTTGCACGCAGCCAACATGGTCGACCCGAGTTCGATTCCTCCACCCCTCTCGGAGAGCCCGGCAAGCTACCGAGAGTATCTCGCCAGCATGGCAAGCTCCCCGTGACGTATTCGATATGCCAAACACAGTAACAACAAAAGTCTTCAATGGAGACGTTACTGGGCCCGCTTGAGCAAATCGATGATCAACGGGAGGGTCTTTACCTTTTACCGTTATGGTTTCAACATTTAGAAAAATAGAATGGAATAAATTGAAATAGAAAAATAGATAACTTAAAAAATAATCACTTGTGAAGTTGGAAGCACTAAAGAATGAAAGGGTTCTTATATAGCCCAGATGACTAGATTAAGAGATCTCACTCTTTATTAATAAGTCCATTATTAAGTGGATCCTAGATTACTCAAAAATCCATTGTTATGAATACAAAAGCTTAAATTTTATTGTTTTGCTTGGTTGTGCAATATGAGTTGAATGAGTCCGGTATTCTTCACTTTGCATATTTACTTAAATATAATATATACACATTTCTTTTTCAATACCACCTAAGTAAATGTATATTTCCATTGATTTTAGCATTAGGAGGTCCTTCAATATGTAGCGTTAGAAATTCTATATAGATATAGATCAGATTTTGTGTAGAATCTATAAAAATTTTTAATATATTTGAACAAAAATCACTGTCACTGTCCTCCCATTGTTTACCGATTTGCTCGAGCAAGCCCAGTAACACTGTGTGACTTGTTACTGTGTTTGGCATATTGAATATGTCACAGGTAGCTTGCCAGGCTTTGCCATGCGGACAAGATGCTCTTGGTAGCTTGCCAGGCTCTCCAAGAGGGGCGGAGGAATTGAACTCGAGTCAACCTGGTTGGCCTCATGCAAGGCAAACGCGCCCTACTAGCTGTACTATCTCTCCAGGCTGAACAAAAATACTAGTAGTTTATTTCTGGTTTATTATTTATTTCTTGGGTTTTTTCATTTTTTAACTTTTTTATATTTTTTTTAATTTATTTGTTGAATCACTGTGAGAACAGTAACAAAGCCTTTCAGTTCAAGTCTTGGTTGGTCATACAATGATCAAACACCCATCCCTTCGCCAGTGCACATTTTCTACCACCAAGAACCCCAGTATACCCCCTCCCCCAAACCTGTGTGGCAGATTTTCCACTTTTCTCTCTCTGTGTCTTGGGTTTTATTTTTTAAATCTTGCAAAGAAATTATTTTATTCCTACACCTTCGCAATAAGTAATTATTGCACAAACACGATAACTGTTACAGATAATTATAAGAAAGAATGCCATAAGCAGCTTTTTGGGAGTAAAGAAAAAAAAATCAAATACACTCTTCACGGGATCATACTGAAGGCTTTCAGGATCAAAAGTATCTTTCAAAACAGGAAGGTGTCTGATGAAGCAGGTCTCTTGAGAAGCTGAGAGTTTTAGAATACTTCTCAGAAGCAGAGGAGAGCTATTTACTAAACAGAATGTCCAAGTTTGTCTATTCCGTATTTCCATGCCAAGGTCTAATCAATTACAACTGTTTCTAATAAGACTTGGCAAAAGTTAGAAGTCAGTTTGGGTTTCAGCATCCAGTAATTCCAAGACTGTCTCAGTGGTCATGATGCTTAGCTTATTCCCTCAATTTGGAATCTGGGTAGCGTAGATCCCCCCAAAAAAAGGAAAAATTAATGTTTTGATATTGACATTGATAATAGAATTCTGAGTACACCCAGATGAAGGATGAAAGCAGTTCATTTCTTCCTATCAGAGATCACACTGGAATTATCTAGTATATGATAAGGAAGACTATCAACAATATGTTTTCTATATAACTTAAATTTACAGTTTAGGTCTGATTATTGGTCATGTTTTGTGAAGGCAGACTAACACTTAAGTACCACAGTTTGTAATTGTTATGTATTTCTCAATATCTAGACTTAATGTGCTAAGATGGTTCTGAGGCAAGAAATAACGAGTTAGAAAGGAATGAATGTATGTTTTGTATGTGGGATACCTGGATTCAATCCTCAGCATTACATGGTCCCATGAGACCACAAGGGCCATCCTAGAGCAAAACTGGGATTAGTCACCAAATACCCCAACAACGACCCCACGACTCAAGAAGGGGAGAAGAGAAGGAAGGAAGGAAGGAAGGAAGGAAGGAAGGAAGGAAGGAAGGAAGGAAGGAAGGAAGGAAGGAAGGGAGGGAGGGAGGGAGGGAGGGAGGGAGGGAGGGAAGGAGGGAGGAAGGAAGGAAGGAAGGAAGGAAGGAAGGAAGGAAGGAAGGAAGGAAGGAGAGGAAAGAATATGAATCAGATTCTGTAAAAATAGTTGTTTATAATAAGGCCCATAGGTCATATGATGAATGAATATCTCAGAAATCTCTCTACACATCAGTTTTCTTTGTTTATACTTGATTATCTCGCTGTTCTTTTTGTTTTAGTTTTTCTGCAGCTACCACCTGACTAGAAACAATTATCCATAAACATATCAGCCTGAGCAGTGTTAGCTGAAGTGATGTCAGAGCAGGATAAAATAGTACAAGTCTGAACACGGTTAAGAAAGGAAACTTAAGAAAGGAAACTTAAGAACAAAATGTCTAATTCATTTGAGGATAAGATGGTACAGAGGAATCAGAACTAGGCCACTATGCGGTAGTGGGTTGTGAGGTGTTGTATTTCTAGGCCTCTGATGGATCTGTCTATACCTTAACTGGAGAAATGATATTCTTTTGACATGTGTTTCCTAGTTGTGGAAAAGTTTCCATGGTCTTTTCTCCAAGTATGCTTGAACATTTATGCTAATTGACTCAATTACAAAAGAAGGTAAACTTTTTTAAAATTTTCATTTATATAGTCATTTATTTTAATTGGATCTCTGCAATATACACAGTTATAGAGTTGTTCATGGTTGGGTTTCAATCATACAGTGTTCCAACACCCATACTTCACCATATACATTTCCTGCCTCCAATGTTCCCAGTTTCCTTCCCTCCAGTCTACCTGCATGGCAGACACTTTTCTTTCTCTCCTTTTCCTTTTAGGCCCTGTGGTTTGCAATACTTTTACTGAAAGGTTATGATGTAAATCACTTTGCCTCCTTTCCACTCTCAATGCAAGTCCAGAATGATCATTTCTAAGTATCATTGTCATCATGGTCCCTTCTCTGCCCTAACTGCCCACGCACGCCCACAATTTGTGGCACACTTTCTACCATGGAATATTCCTCCTGGCCCTCATTTTTACTATATTTGGGATGACTCTGAAAGAAGAAGACTTTATTTATATGTAGGAGTATTGCTATTTATTAAGCCACTGATTAGCTGATTGAATTGGGCATGAACTCCACAAGAAAGAGGAAGGTTTTTATGAAGAGACTTGTCTCTGAATTCAGTCTAAGGGAACACGTTCGTGTTGATAAGACAGTAAATGCACAGCATGGGGTCAAGGCCCGATGGTGGGCACACTACACCTCAGGCAGAACTCAGGAGTCAGCTGTTGGCACATACAGAGGCAATGGATAAATCAACATGTCAGGTAGGAAGTTTAACCTGGGCCAATTTGAATTTGGAGAGAAGCAACCTCTGAGGGAAATTTGAGGTACTAAGAGTCCACTCTCTAGTGTTATAATTGTGAGTCTTAGGAAGAAATCAAATGTTTTTACTTTATTTCTGTGGTGTCTTGTGCTTGCATGTCTGCTTCTACAGTTAGTGCCTCCGTGGCAATGATCAGGGGCTACACTTAGCTGAGTGACAGGGGTTCACTTTTACAGTGCTTGAGTAGCCAGTCTTATGATGTTGTAGTTGAAATGCAAGACATCGCACTTGCAGTACAAGTGCTCTGTCACTGAACCACGTTCCCTTGCCTCATAACCATCTTAAGGGTTTCATGTGGGAAAGATAAGAGTTATCATATTGATACCATCTCAAAGGATCTCTCATACTTCTGGTTTAGTTGGGAGGTAGAATGTACATAGAAGTATTAAAGCTGTGACAATTTAAGTTTATTCTCAACTCATCCAAAAACCACAGTACTAATTGAACAGAAAATATACCTTTATTAGAAAGAATGACAATGTACAAATTGGGAAGTTTGTGCACCAACACAGAGCAAGTTTTTATAAAGGATCAGCTTCATGCCCAATATAATCAAGAAGAGCTAAACATATCAATTTAGTGAGAAATTTTTCTAAAAGTCACTCATTTTTGTGAGGGCAGATGGTGATCATATACAGTTGAGAATCACACAAAAATATATTACTATACATCAAATATACAAAGAATGGCAAAGAAACATAATCTGGGTGATATGTTCACTGTACGTCCAAGATGGCATTAAAACAAGGTACAGCATACAATGACCAACTCTGTACAAAGGTAGGGCCCCCTAATCACACAAAGGTCTTTGTAAGATTTCCTCCTGATCATGCTCAAAACACAAATGGTGCATCAGTTATGATGACATTTCCCAGAGATCAGCTATCACATCTTCCAAACTACCAACCTTGGTAGTTTGACCAGTCAAAAGAAGGCAGGGGCACTAACTTGCACACAGTTTTCAGTATTTGCTGCAGTCATATGTTAGCATGTTTATCTCCATACCTTTCAAGTATCAAGATGTCAGCAACCATATTGAAAAAAAAGATGATAAAATATAAAATAAAAAGCGAAAGGAAAAATTAACCCTTCAGGTGTTTAAAGTCAAAGTAGTATTTCTGAAAACATGTAGTCTTTGAGAGTAGAGCAGTCTTCTACTTACTATCAGGCATCATTGGATGAAACTAAAGCACAGTTACTTCTATAGAATCTCTACTTCACACAGTATAAGAGGAGTAGAATCCCAACCCACCCAGAAATAAGGCTTTAGTACATCAGAAAATGTCTCAGTTAAAGAATAGATATGAGACCTGTCACTAGCATCATAGAAGGAAACCTCACCCAACTCATAGTCCAGGTAAATGCCAATCTTTTGGGGCTTGTTCTTCACAGAGAGAATGACAGGTACAGAGCCTCCAGCCAAGTAGTTGCCATCCTGTAACTGGATTGTCCAGGAACTATTCTGACCCAAAAGGGGTGGCTGCTCCTTGCTGGAAGGGGTGTCTGTGCACACCCCCACGGCCCACTCAGTCTTGTTACCCACCTGCACCTCCCAGTAATGTCGGCCTGAACTGTATCCTTCAGAGCCCAGAACCACTGCATAGTCAGTATCTCTCACTTCCCCATCATCTTTTGATCTTTTCCACACATAGTTAACAGTCTTTCTATCTTCAGACACACACAGACTGGGGTGTGCTGTTTTGGGGTCCAGAGTCACCTCTTCTCTGAATTTCTGTATAATGTTCTTCAGTGTTAAGTATAGCGAAATGGGAAAGCCTTTGTCGCTGAAGTGCTGGGACTGTAGGACCGGGGGCTCCAGATTCTTATGGCGTGGTGTGATGCTCTTGAACTCTTTCAACACCATCCCTGGAGACATCATGCTCCTCTCTGCCACCTCTTTCTGTAGACCTTTCAAGACGGAAATATGCTCAGAGATTGCAGTGAGACTGGTACTTAGTTTCCTTTCAAAGTCCTTCTCTTTTTCAACCCACCTGGAGAGTGCAGCTTCTTGCTCATTTGCTATCAGCCGATTCAGGAACTCAAATTCCAAAGCTAACTGACTCCTCTGCTTTCTCACCTCCTCTCTCAGCTGCAGGAGATTCCTGTCTTGGGAGACAATTAAGTTCTTCACCTCTTCCATCTGCTTCTTTAGGAGTTCAGTGTGACCATTGAGCCTGTGTCTGTGATCAGCGGCAGCCTCTGCCATGAGCTTCAGGTGGTGGCCATGGTGTTCAGGGGGTTGTGTGTTCTGGGAACATATCAGTTCTTGGTCATCCTCACAGAACAGAGTCAGGCCTTCATTGAGCTCCTCATACCTGCGCTTCTTTTCTGGCTTCATCTCTCTCCTAGAGCTGTGGAATAGCTTGGCCATGTCCACCAGCATTCCCATCTGAGGGTTGACGCTAAAGCACCTCTGTGGGCAAGGGTGGTGGCAGACGGGACAAGGAAATGTGTCCTGTAGATCCTCCCATGACATCCGGATGCAGGAGTCACAGAAGTTGTGCCCACATTCAATGGTGACTGGGTCTTTGAGGTAGTCCAGGCAGATGGGACAGGTGAGCTCTGCCTGCAGCGTTGCCAGGGCTGCCAACACCTCCATCCTCAGGTGCAGGAAGGGCAGGCTAGTGTGGACTTTCTCAGAAGGTGGTTGCTCCTTGCATGTTCTTCTGGTCTTGATGCCACTGATGACTTACCACACCACTGACCACTTTGACCGCAGGGATCAAGGTAGGTGCCCAATTAATCCCACTCACCAGAAAGAGCCGACTGCTGGTGGTTGGAGATTTGAAGAGACATGAAATTCAGCCACTCTCTTGACCAGAAGTCGGTCAGGACTCTGAATGACAATGTGTCCCTGAGGATGATAATATGCCCCTGCACATAATTAGAGGTATCATCTTCCCAGTGGTCATGCTTCCTGCTATTCAAAACAACCACTGATTGCCCTTTCCTCCCTCTCAAACCACCAGCAACCACATCAACTCATCAACCCTGAGTGCAGTTAGCCATTATGACCTCTAGGTCTGGACAAGTTTTCTCCTGTGTCACTTATTCTCTGGGGATAAACAAATAACTATCCTCAAGCCAAAATAATGGAATCAAAATCAAAGACCAGCTCTAAGTTAAAGATAATGGGTTGCATTTAGAGGTGGAAATAAACTCAGCTCTTAAACAAAACATAGGCACTAAGATCATTCTGGGTGTTATGCTCTGGGATCCCCCACCTCTGCCACAAATCACCAGATTGATTGTTACTTACTAGGACTGTTGACTCTGGTCAGCTTAGCTTTGGGACGATGGTCTTGAAGTGGATCTCCTGCAAAGATCTGTAGCCTTCTGACTATACTTTTTTGGGATATCTTCTGCAGACAGGCCATTTATATAGAGTTAGGTGGGTGGAGCTTTGGGATGCACCCGGCAAAGATTAGAGGGAGGAGAGGAAGGATACCAAACTGGAGCTAATAGGATGTTATGAGTACAGTCATTGGGAGCAGTGATTTTGCGACTAAATAGGACCAGATAGACTCTGAAATTGTGTTACTATGAAAAATCTAGTCTTCACCATTGAATCCTCCCTTCATCTTCTCAATATTCTTATTTGCATATTTATTGGAGAAGAAACTGAGACCACAGTCCATGCATCAGTTTCACTCTCTCTCCACAGAAGTGTAGCTGGCTCCACACGTTTCTCCTTCTGAGTCTGAAGTGCTTCCTGGAGGCCTTTGGAAGTGTTTTTCCTCTCAGATATAAAGGTTATCTTCTAATTGGCAGCCAACCTTAAGTGCTTAATAACCAAAACAAAAAAAATGCTTAGCTTCCTCATCTCTGTGATGAATCCACCATTTATTTACCTAAATGCACATGCAGAAATTCATAGAAGCATGGTTGGATCCCTCACTCTGTAACCTTAACCAGTCCACCCAAGATCAAAAGCTGTGGTATTGCTTTGTAACTAAATCATTGCTTTCCTACTCCTGTTACCTATGTCTCCTGCTCTGTGCACTTCTCCCCAGACCTTCTTTAAGGCCATCATCAGTGGAATAAAGGTGACCCCTTGGCAAGCACCAACATGGCAAGATTCAAGGTAGAAATTCCTTAACCCTGTTTGCATAAAGATAGACATAGGTAAAACCTTAATAGTGCTAGTTGCCAGACCTAAAATTTACTGACTTAACTTGAGCTCAAATTCTCAGTAACAATTATTTATGATCTGAAGTGTGAAGATGAGTCAAAAATATTAATTTTTTAGTTGCCTAATATAGGACAGTCAAACCAACCAATGTGCAGCAATTTGTGCTTTAAAGCCATATATTGTGTTTCTGTGTTCTTTCCACAGTGCAGATCATGGAAAAAACCAATTAAATGGAAACTTGCAAGCTAATATAAAGTTACAATGAACAAATTCATGTTTCATGCTCAGGAGAATAGAGGTTGAAAAGCAGAAGTTATTGGTACTTAAGGAAGGAAGATAAGAAATATTATTTGATAATAGAAGAATGAAGATTCTTTCTATAGAGCGACAGAAATGATAGCTTATTGTTGTCTAACAGTCGTGTGGAAATCAGAATTTTGAGAAATGGACATCTTCAATTGAGATGTTAAACAAATGGTGAAAAGTGTAACCTAGGTTTCTTATTGCTACTTATAAGAAAAAGGCAAAGAGAAAAATTGAGGGGACATTATGACAAAACAGTTTAAGAATTTGGAGATCCTAACTCCAGTCACTTTTCAAAAAGTATCCCCAATTTTGATTCCACTCCTAGAAAGTGTGCACTAGAAGACACCAGAGTTATGTTGAACACATTTTATTTAAGGTAATGAGGTTGACTGACCCAGAAAATTGTCAAGCCAACAGAGAAAAGTTATTATGTTTCAAAACCTGGGATTGATTCTTTGCTGCTGGAGAGTGTGCGTTTAGGATGTATATTGCTCTCGGTACTTACTCGGTAGATACTCTCGATAGCTTGCCGGGCTCTCTGAGAGGGGTGGAGGAATCGAACTCGGGTCGGTCATGTTGGCTGCGTGCAAGGCAAATGCCCTACCACTGTGCTATCACTCCAGCCCATGTATTGCTTATATTAAATAATTATTCAGTGTGGCTGGAGTCATATAGTGGGTAGGGTTTTTGTCTTGCACATAGCCAACCCAGATTTGATCCTCAGAATCCCACATGGTCCCCTGAGCACCACCAGGAGTAATTCTTGAGTGCAGAGCCAGGAGTAACCCCTGAGCATTGCTGGGTATCACCCAAAAAGCCAAAAAGAAAAGAGCTAAATAATCACTGACAGTTAATATAACATGACACTTTATCTCTGAGGCAGTGAGGGCTTTGTTTTATTTACCTAACCATGTTGCTGAGTTTTCTGTTTCTCTGGACCTGGTAAAGTATAAAGATTCTCTGTCTCTCTCTGTCTCTTTGTCTCGACCTCTCTCAATCTTCATGTTTGAGGGTGGAGGTGTAACATATGTATGTTTGTCTGTTATTCTTTTTTGTTTTCTGTTTTTGTTTTTTTGTTTGTTTGTGGGTCACACCCAGCAGTTCTCAGGACTTACTCCTAGCTCTGATCTCAGGGATCACTACTGGCAGGGCCCAGGGACCATATGGGGTACAGGGGATGGAACCCAGGTTGTCTGCATGCAAGGCAAGCCCCTAACCACGATACTATAGATTTGGCACTGTCTGTTTCTTGTCTAAGCAAACCTCAATCAAGTGGCCTTGACTGGGTCACTCTTGTCATTTAAAGAACACCTGACTACTTATTTTCTGAAACGTTACCCTAATGAGAGATTCTTCATTCAACTCAATGTGCCTCAAGGTTTTCTCTTTTCCTTCTTTCCTTCCTTCCTTCCTTCCTTCCTTCCTTCCTTCCTTCTTTCCTTTTCCTTCTTCCTTTCTTTTCCCTCCTTCCTTCCTCAAATCATAAATACTTTACTGTGATAATGTTTTACAATTCTCCCAGATGAAGAATATTTTAGACTCATTTTACTTAAAATAAATGTAGTTATATGATGGAAATTGTTGAGCAATTGTTACAAAATTGATTCAAAACTTATATTGACTTAATGTTAGACTAAAAGTTTTAATTAGCATTCATGATTCATGAATATGCCATTAATATCTAATGGATTTGAGAACTGTAGAAACTCTTTTGAAGGATTCATTAATTTGTTTTCGATTTGGGGACCACATATGACAAGTGATTACTACATGCCCCGTCCTCAGGACTCACTTTCGGAAGGGCTTAGGGCACTGAGGTACTAGGGTGAAACCTGGACTTCCAGCAGGTAAATCAACCTTTGGTACACTTCCTCAGCTCAACTTATTTTCTTTAAAATGTCACATTAAATGTATTCGTTTCAAACCTCATGAGCTAAGTAAAAAATTACTAGTAATTTTAGAGAATGGAATGTGAGAAAATACATGTCATTTATTATATTAGTTTTGAATTCTCTATGTAGTTAGCTGATGTCCTTTGTCTTACTGTAGTTAACCTGCGTGTGATGTACATGACAGAGGGAATTCCATTTCTCAATGCATAATGGAGCAATGGTCTCCTAACCTGCTTTGGTCTCTATAAGAATAGGAACCAGCAGTGTCTTGCAAAGCCCCTTAGTGAACCAGAGGAATTCCTGTAGATTATATATCAAGGTCCACTTTCAGACTATAAGCTACTTTTTGGACTATGAAAGTCCCAATGTGTATACAGTATGGACCTCTTCCTGTTATTTGTGCATATGTGGCAACCTTAAGTCAAAATAAACAATTTTGCATGGGGATTGGCTGTTCTCAGTTGTGTAGGCCACAAAAATAAAGATGACTTTTACTCTTGGGTTTTTGGGGGACTTCTGTGAATCCAGCAAACATGGTACATTTGTTCTTTTATTTCAACTATCATGAGCTACTCAGTTTTTATCCTTATTTTCATAATTAACTGAAACATTTATCTGCTAGTGTTTGGGAACAGCTTTCCCCAATGATGCCAGGACACGCTGCACACCGAGACTGGGCAGACACGGGGCCAAGAAAACACTTCCGCGGGCGTGCGGCGGAAACTCCAGGATCAGCCAGGGACTGTTCACTTTATTGCCAAATACACACATCTTTTATAGAGGGTCTCGGCTTTACAGGAATATCCAATCACATAAAGTTTAGTATTATTGGCCTATGACCTTTCCCACTCTGCTTTGCCCCAGTCCAATTAAGGCTAAATGCTGTGGTTAGGATGATTTACTAAGCATACGTGACAGTTTCTGTATCTGGAGCTCATGTGACTAGGGGTGAGGCTCAAGGCTGGACACCTGGTGCTGACATTCTGTTCTTGCCAATTTTGCCCAGATACTTCTTTCTGTGGAGTCTCTCTCCTGATCTGCTTTGCAAGGTCAGGTCTTATCTGCCCCAGTGCCTGTAGCCATGCTCTACATGCTAGTTCCGTTTTGATGAGAAGATGGAAATAGAATCATTTCTTTGCTAATCTTGGAGGCTGGAGTGTTAGTACAGTAGGAAGGGTACTTTCCTTGCACATGGCTAACCCAAATTTGATCCTTTCACCTTGTACAATACCCTGAGATTGCCAGGAGTGATCCTTAAGAACAGAGCTA